GTGTGTCACCGTCACCGTGATTTTGTTTCCAGGTTCTCCGATGTTTCTGAAGCGTTGTATGACTCTTGCTTGAAACAACGAAGCACGGTAGATCCATGCACATGGACGGAGTATCGCACAACAATGGGCCGATGAATGTGGTTGACTTGCAGGAGCGGAAGCTCTTCAACGCGTTGCCATCTGGCTTGCACTTGCGCAGTCCCATGCCGCCTGCAGTTTGCAGCAACGTTTTTATCCTTGTGACTTTCCGCGCAAAATCTCATGGTGTCGTTGTCTCGCTCAACAGCTACGAAAGATGAACAGAGACAACAACAGCAAACACGCACACAAACTGCATGCTCAAAGCCGCTCAACATGGGCACACGAAGCGCGATCTTCAACTCCAACAGCTGGTGTTAAGAGTTACATTCCTGCTAAATGCTGAGGGGCGGTTTCAGAACGCACTTTGTGCCTTTACCTTTTGGATTTTAGGTTCCTGACTTTTTTTTCAATATCGGTTTGGTGCATGTCCAGGGCTTGTTTATGTTTCGGTTGGCTGCTGAATCCTTTCGGGAGAATCTCTGGTCAAAAGATGAAACAGCAGAAACAATAGCACCTGTGGGGAAATCAAAACGACATCATACAAACCTAGGGACATCAAACGAGCATGACAAAATAGGAAAATTCAAAGAAATCATTACACAAACAAAAAGCCTGGGTAAACTAAATGGAAATCAAACAAACGAAGGACATCAAACAAACCCAAAACATATCAAACACTTGGGGAAATAAACAAAACAACGGTCAAGCGCACCTAGGGAACTTACAAGCATCAGACAACCTACAACCTAGGGCAATCATACGATAATCAACCAACATACAAGGAAGGTTAAACACATAGAACAATGGAATCACATTAAATCATCAAACAACAACGAAAAACAACTATCAAGTCGCAAAGCCAGAATCGCCTAGGGAACAAAGACAAACGACTAGAAAAACCACACCCAAAACAACCTGCAACAAACAAGAACAGCCTAGGCAAAGCAACACAACTCAAACCAACCTACAGGACCTAGGGAAAACACAAGAAACTCTAACAATGTTAACAAATCAAAACCGGGGGCATCCAAAGCACACCAAACGCCCTGCGGAGATAAACGCCAATCAAGATAGCACAGTCAAATGAACACAAGACTAATTCGGCACACGAACACAACGTAGAAAAAGCAAACGAACATGCAAACTACCTCGGAAAGTCAAATCAAGCCAAAGCATCAGACATAGATCGAAAACAAACATAACATGGTTGGAAACTGAAACATGTCCGAAACTAAACTCAAAATTAGATCAACACGAAGCAGTAATTAAGCAACTATTTATTGAATTACTGGCAAGTTCCCAACATACCAGCTACAGCACGTCTTAAAGCTGGTGCGGAGGTTTTGAAGAGAGAATCCCGGCACGCCCCGCGCCTCCCCTCCCAAGTTTCCCATTACGAGCATTCCTCCTCGTGTCAGTCATGATTTCATGACGACAGGTGGCAGGGCAGCCTGGGATCCTTTGGATGACTTTGATCTTTGCAGTGCTGCCAGTGGAACTGGTGTGAATCAACTCCTGGGATCGCCTGCCACTGCCAGAGCACATTCCAGCCGCATGTGCATTGGTATCAGATGTTTCGACTCTGCATCGCTCGCTCAGCAGACTGCTTCACATGCCAGTGCTTGCCGGATCAATGTCTCCGTGCCGACCATCAGAAAATGCTCTTCCTCTCCAAACGATCTCCGCTTGAATTGGAACAGCTCGAATCCCGGCTTGCGTGGACTGCCCACTTTTCGGTAGTTCGCTTCAGGCCAGAAGATGTTTGCCGAGATGCGTCTGCGCAGCTTGGCGGTCTTGAGCAAGGGCCAGCTCCTAGCGCAGCGCGGCGCAGCTCGGCAACAAAAACAACTTTCAGCTGACTGGAGCGCGTTTGCCTGACACGACATGAGCAACTGGATGCTCGGATTTGGAGTTCGGAACCAGTCCTGCGTGCGGGTGGTGTTGTGGGAGGCGTCGATAAAGGGCAAAGCCTGCGATCTCCGTCAGATCAACTTATCAATGCAAAAGGCTGTGATGGCGTGACAAAGACAAGCTGGAAACACGTGATGCATCAGGAGAAACATTGCAAGCTAGACTGACAACCAACTCTCGCTCAAGGTCACAGGGCAAGGCAGCATTGTGCGTCGGTTGCGTTGTTTCAGTTTCCAGGCAAAGTTTTAGTATTGGAAGGAAATCCGGTAACTCCTCGCTGGGTCGAGAAAGGAAAGCCCCTTTTTCGTGGAACGTCGGTCGGTTTCTGTTCCAGGCAGCTTCCGCCAACAGGCCTCACCAGGCCTTCTGGCCGGGCTATGCTTCTGTCGGAGTGTTGCTCTCCCAGTTTCTGCCCGAGTCGAACCCGACTTCCTGGTCTTCGGATGTCTTCGGTTCCACAAGCTCCCCAAAACTGCCTGAGCTCCTCGCTCATTCCGCAGGATTCGAACGAGCATTGCCAGCTTCTGGCTTGTCCTCCTTAAGTCTCCAGTGTCTGATCCACGCCAAAGGGCCCCGCTCTGCGACCTCAATCAACAATAGGGGCCTTCGGACGAAGTCCGACGGATCGTTTTGACAAACGAGGCATGTGTTCAAGACCAGGCGACTAATTTGCCGTCCACAGTCACACAACACACACGCCCGCGCTGCTATCCGCACCCTTCAACTTGAACCTCCACTGGGTCGTCACCTGTGCTTGCTTAGATAGCCGTTGATCCGTACTGGCGGTTTGACACGGCGGCTTGGTTGGCTTCGCCTTACCAAACCCGAGATGAAAAAAAACGGCATCTGAATTCTCGGCCGCCATTTAACCGACGTGCCGCCGCTTCGGATCCACATGGATCCACACCTTTCCAACCCTCCAACCAGTGCGATAGACTGGGCTCACCCGCGGGACCCATTTACTTACATTTACTTACAGTACTTACTCTATCTTACTTGCTTTCTTGCTTACTGACTTACTGGGTCTTACTTGCTTCCATGGTTCCGCATTCCTGCGTCTCTCCATGGATATAAGATCGCAATGCACCGTGCTCACGTCTGAGTGCTGAGGTGCGCACGATATTGTAGTCCACCGCCCCGGAACCTCGAAGACATGTCTACTGCTGCAATCTACAAGGTAGTACAAATCCGGCCACAGGTATTGCGGCAATACTATCGCCGTATTGCGGCCGGCACTCAACTGAGCCATCAGCAAAACTTCATAAACTTTGTCAAGTTCGCGTAGCTGTGCTTGCCCCACCTGACAAAGCCAGGGGCTTTCCGTCACTGACTTAACATGTTCCTACGTGTAGAATGAGACTGTGTCGTCCGCAGTAGGAGTTTCCCTGTGTGCAAAGAAACATGGGCCCACGTTCGTCACGGATTTGCAGGAAGATCGCACATGGCCACAACCCACATCTTCGACGAAAGCTAGGAAAGCCGACATGTCTAGCTAGAAGGGGTGAGTGGAGAAGTGCACTGTGAAGCGACTGGATTGCACCAACACGGACTCAATTGCGCCGTGACTCTCTCTCAGATTCAATCGAAGGTTTGCCGGAAATCGTCCCTCGCCCACGCTGTGTTTCGCAGCGATTTTGCGACAAGGGCAACCAGTGTTGACGAAATTGAGCATAGAGCGCAGTATGCTCAAAGAATCGCGAGATCCAACTGACTCCTGCGATAGCCTGGACACAAGAAAGACTCCCCTCGTGTCTGACAGCAGTTTAACAGCTGCAGCGTGGGCTCGCTCAGGGTAGGGCATAAATAACAGGCCGCTGGTCAGACCACACACACACACATCGTCGCGAGTTATTATGACTGGAGAGACTGAAATTTAGCACATGCTTCCAAACCGACGCCGTCTCCGGATGCTGCTTGTTTTGACGTGTCGAAAACGCCGACTACTTTACATTTGGCTCTTCAGGCTCTACGGGCTGGTTGCAGCCAGGAGCCCGATGGGGCCCGAAGACACCAGAAAACTTCTTCTTAAAGTTACAACTTAGGTTCACGCTTCGGCATTTGGCCTTCTACCATGCTGCAGTGTGGCTGACTGTTGCTCGACACCATGTCGAAAACCGCAAAAGTGATACCGCGCCCGCATCAAATAAGGGAAAGCCCATTGAGCACAAAGCATCTCTTTTGGGGGAATGCGAAAGTCTGCAACATTAACTGAAGAGTCTGTAAAGACTTGCAAACGAGGACCGTGGCCTTTGCTTTTCCAGCCTCGGTAGATCCTGCAAAGCAGGGAACACCTGCGGCAAACGCTTTGGCTGGAGGGTCGTCCACGGTGAATTACACGGCTCCTTGCACCTCTCACAGTTCTACATGCCGTGTACTTCAGCTTTCGGGACCCGGCTGGGTTGATGCAGTACTGGGCTTTGCAAGCTGCATTCGTGGTGTACAGCTCCTCTAGCGGACATCTCTGTACTCTGGTTTGACAAATCAAGCGCAAGCAAGAGTCCCGTAGTATGCCGCTCGCTGCTTGCAGAAGAGTGAGGCCGAGCACCTGTCGCCTTACAACTCCACATGTTCAGATTAGAGATCTCAGCTCTGGAACTGACACTGGGGAAGCTGGCATCATTGGCCTCTGTACGTTGGCTCCTGCTTGCATGAGTCTCGCTTTGTCTCGCTCCATGAAAGACCCGGAGACAGCTTTGTGCACGAATGGTCCTGGCGGAGTACTTGCGACTTTTGTGGAGAATTTAAAGTCTAGGGAGGTTCCAGACGTTCACTCACGGATAAGCACATTTTGTGCCGGTCTCGAGCCAGACAACGGCAGTACATGGCTAGAGCTGACATAAATTCGCATACAAGCTGCTTTTTGCGCCACATCGCGCCATCCGTGTGGCGTATCGCAAGCGACTCCTGGAAATTAAACAAAACACATCTTTGTTTTAGGCTTCCGGCTCGTAATGCAGTCCAGCTGAGTCTTGGAAGGCTACAGCCAACAAAAATTTGAGCCGTTGCAGTCACCAATCTACTGCAGCCGGCCATGACTTCGGGACGACGCAGCCGCTCAGCTGCAGTTGTGCATTGACCTCCCAAGCTGGAAACGCTTGTGCGTCATTCCATCAAGGCGGCACATCCAAGACCTCGCTAGCGACGTTTCCACTTGCAGTAGCAGGGCCTTGCGAAAAAAGACTTTGCAGTAGATGTTGCGGCAATCCTCCTCCATGGCAGCAGAATTGCTGCAACGCATGCAAGCTTCACGACCTCAGTTTTTGCAGAGCATTGCTTCTTGTCAGCAAAAGGATATGTACCCGTGCTAGTCTCAGATCCAAGCATCCCTCCACACGTTTCTCCCAGTGGCTCCGTTGAGACATACCATCAAGAAGCCGTTGGACCTAACAGTTTTGCTGCTGTGGATGAAACCGGGAACCGTTGCGAAGGGCTCTTGTTGCTTCTGCAGGCCGCTATAGACTCGCAAGACCTGGACAAATCTTGTCGTCAGGGGACTGCTCCTCCACGCTGGCACTCAGCACAAAGACCGGCAGTGCCACTAATCCTGGCACCTTGACGGCTGATTGGGACACGGCTTTCTGTGACAACTATGTCATGGCTTCCCGCCTGCTTTTTGTCCACATGCCTGGCAAGTAAAGCCCGCGGCCATGTTGAGCATAGCAGAGGCAGATGAGCAGGAACTGCGCAGGGTGCTCGCTGCCACATCCCTGCGCCGAGGTCGCGCAAGCTCTCGGCGTACAGAGTTGGGGTTCTATCCAAAGCTCCTCGTAACGTACTTTGCTTCTAGACGCGTTGCAGTCATAACCAGCAGTGGTGCTACAATCTACTCTGAACTGAAATCAGATCAATCCAAGTTTGTGCTTGGCCGTGTCAAACCCGGGAAGACCCGGCAGCATTGACTTGCCTCTTGGTTTTTGCTTGAGAAGGCTGGAGGAAAGCTCGTCGGTTGGGTTGGTGCGGAGCATTGCAGATTAGTAGCCGGGGCAACGTCACCCACGGTCAGTAGCAGCAGGATTGCCAACTGCAGCAGCAGCAGCAGAACAGCAGCAGCCCTGGGAGCGGTCAGTAGAAGGGAGGGGCGGACAAAGACGTCTTAGGGAGTCTGAGAGGTCCTGGCCTGTCATCCGAAGACAAAGCCAATCATCCAGACACAGGCGGCTGAGGTCTACAATAAGATGCATGTCGAAGCTATGGGCTTTAGGTTAGAGCTGTATTCTTTACAAGTTAGAAGTATGATAGCTTCACAGTTAAAGCTGTACGAGTAACACGCAATTCAAGCTCCCGCTTTCCTGGCCCGAAGTCCTGAAGAACGAGCAAACTTCTGCCGGGGAGAGTAATGCAGGAGGCCAGCAGCGAAAACAACCGCAATAACAGTACCTTGGAAGTACCGTGGATCCTAGCAGATGCAGTAGAAGTGCCGGTAGAGGTTCTATCGCAGCAGTTGCGAGAGCAATAAGGTTAGCAACTGCATCGGAAGTTGGAAGAGGGAGACCCAGGGGGGGATGGCGGGGGGAGGGCCCCCTGACCAATCAACCTGCAACGATTGATCTCCAGTCGAGGATTAGGCTCCGTGCTTTCGAAGCCACTGAGAACTGTTACAGTAGTAAACCAGAGCTCGAGCTGAGTCCTCACAGGAACCGTTTTCATGACTCACACCTATCTTCTGCTCTGTTCGTACATGTCTCATGGATGTTCACATACCCTGTTGGGTATCAGCTGTTGACTAGCAGGTCGCCATAGTGGTCCTTGCACGCACTGGTTGATTGATACGACGATCGGTGAAGATGCGCCGTTGTTGGACCCGAACCAAGTAGAATGCCACCCGTTCATCGCAACAGGTGGTGACATGAAACTGCATGTAGGCTCTGCGAGATGAAGCAGGCGGGCGACATCGGCACATGCCGGGCCCAAGGGCTGCGGTATCCGGGAGCATCCGGAGTTCCAAACTGTAAGCCAGTGATCGACTACTCGTAGCTCTAGCAGCTCCGAACCCTGAGGTGCTTGGGATTTGTGAAGCACGACAAGGTACAGGACGCTGGAGCATTGCTCCGCCGATGCGAAATCCAACACACGTTTGGCGATGCAACAGCCACCGTGCGTCAGTCTCAAACTGTCGTGGGAGGGATGGCAGTGGTCAAGCAGCACAAAGATGAGGATTTCGACTTCCCTGCCGAGGCCTCCGTCTTGGACGAGGTCCTTCCGTGATCCAACGGCGGACGTCCACCTGCCCTTGTAGCCCGTTTGGTCCTGATGCATCAACGAACTCTTCCCTACATCCGCTGCAGTCGAAGTGCTCTGCCTCTGATGAGCATAAATAAGCGATGAAGTGCTGGACCAATCTGACGCTCCAGATAATACTCGATGTTCACGTACAAAGGCGTGCGACCTGCCTAGCAACTTTCAGCTAGTGTGGCACCGATAAGGCACCACGACACATCTTGGGCACTCGCTGAAGCTGCAAATTGGCAGTACCTCGCCTCTACTTCTGCTTGCACCGGACGTCCACCAGTCACTTCTCCTGGGATGACCTGAACGCTGGACTACGCTGCAATACGCTATAGCCTGCAGACCAAAAGGATGCAAGACACCAAGCGACGCCAAGAGGAGTCGGCTCAGGCTCAGGGAAGGACTGCCACGTCGGCCAGCCTCGACCCTGGCGGACCTGCTCAGAAAACGGCAAGATCCATATCTCCCACTTAACGCGGTGAGACATTGCTGTCTTCGCACCGAGCACCTGCAAAACAGCACGATTGAAGCTGAGGTTTCTTTCTCCATGCTTTCGCTGCGCCATGGAAGCGCAAAATCCATAATGTCTGCTGTCGCAACAGGGCCGCACTTGGCAGTTGCGAAACTCAAGATGAAAGTGCACAGCTCGTTCTTCTTCTGCAGTCTGGCTTCATGCCGCACGACAGTAGCGATCTCGGCAGCAGTGGACTGTTGGAGAGAACACATCCTGTGAACCAAAGCGAGTTGCATGCTTCATAGGGCTGTCTTGCAGGACCTTGACGCAACTGAAGCGGTCTGCTGCAGGTTTGACAAGCCAGAGCAACTGCTCGGCATCACGTTTCACGATGAAGTTGTTGTCTGGACTCATGGCTTTCCCAATTCTCTTAGTCTGTTGATGAAGTTTTCACCACCGCCGAAGCCGGTTTCTCCGCACAGAAAACCTCCTTTTGCCGTAGTAGGAGTAGAGGGGCTCCACAGACTGCCTTCGATGAGCCGACCAAGACTCGCCAAATGTGTGGATGCTTTGTATAAAACGCCTGAACTCTGGTTTCCAAGGAGCAAAAAAGCTGCCAAAGCCCCAATGTGCAAAGGTGACGTTGGTGCGGACCACTCGAAGGAGGAGGTAACTTGCCGCCTCAGAAATCAAACTCCGAACAGCAATGGAACATGCTTTCGCTTTGGGATGAGAATGGCTGGGAGGTACCAGGATCCCGTAAAGAGCCGATCCTTTCAAACCGAAGGACCTGAAATTCATTGGTTGATCCCGTGGCAGGGAGGCACCGGTTGCAGCGTCTGATGCTGGCAGGCTACTACGTTGGAAATCGTCATGCCGAATCTGAAGAGTCCGGAAACGAATCTTCGTGAGCGCGGCCACCAGAAGATAGCAGCATCGCGTAGTGTCCTGTGATGAAAGGTTACCAAATGGTGATGCAAAGAACTGTCGAGGTCAATGCAGCGTGGACCTCCCAGACTCACCAGCAACAAGCGTCATTGCATGTGCTCTACTCACTCGAAGTGCCAGGTGTCTCATCAATGAGCCAGGCATTGTAGAACAGACTGCCATATTCCAAAGCGAATATGCCCAGAGCAGTAGGGACATGTGCTTCGGGAGCATGGAACGCAACCAGAATGCCCACGATGCCTCAGATACATGCAGCGATGGAGGGTACAAGAAGGCAAATTAAATGGATTATCTGGATCCCTTCACTCATCCCTTCGACCAGACAAAGGATTGGCAATTCTAAGTCTGCACTGGCTACAAACCAGATGATGCAGCCGTATCAAAGAGTTCTCCCAGGACATCGGGAGATCATTCAGAAGATAGCCGAAAAATGCGTACAGTTGGATGCGCAGGCCAAGCAGACTGGAGTCTTCGAACATGCCACCTGCAAGGAGGCACGACACGCTCACGACAAGGGCTTTGCACAGCTCACAGAAAACAGAGGCTAGCTTTCGTCAAGTGTGACCTCTGCTTTCTAGCCATGGCCCCTTCTCTGAAGGCCAAGATATCCATGCACTGGCCACGGAAACCGGATAAACGAACGCTTGTAGAGTCATGGAGATAAGATAGCAGCCCAAAACCTGCGTGTCTCTTCAGTCTTAACTTCAACTTGCTTCGTGACTGTACGGAAGCTGTGGGACCAGCAGCAATGCACCCAAGTCCTCTGCTGCCATGAAGCTGATGAGCGAACCCGGAGCATGAGCACATCTTGGGTATTCCCACGCGATTGTCGGGAAGAAAAAGGCCGGAAAACGCAGCGTCCTCAAGAGGCGACAGGAACTCAGGCACGAGTTTTCATCTCCCACCTGGTGGCCACGAGCCTGCAGGCTATCAAGGCGGTCTTGGGCCTTGGGTCTCCGGTCAGTTTGCAATCTACGGTTCGTGGGACCGGGACAGCTGAACAGTTGCGAATTCCTCTCAGAAAAAGTAAAGCAACCACCACACATTCGTAGGAAGCGCACTGAACGATGCAGCTCAAGCCGTTCCTTTAAACGAACTTCCACAAGGCATGGTAGCACGACAAAGAGCAAACTTGATTTATATTGTCCTCATAGAAACTCTACAGTAGGATGCAATACACTGCGAGCGAGGATGATGCCGCTGCGGCTTCGAGACTAGATTGCCGCCGTGTTTCCTGCCGCAGCTGCTATAGCACATCCCCAGAAGAGTTCTGCTGGCATGGCATCAGGCGAACGTTTTCGAGTTGGGCGGGCCAATTTCTGCTGCAATGACAAGCCAAAGGCATCAAAAGAGTTCAGCAGTGCGGGGACGGCGAAGTGCTGCTGTGGCACGGCTTCGGCCTTCTGCGACGACGAAAGAGAACCTGACAGCGAAGGCAAGCGGGTGAGATGGACAAAACCAGAGGCGTTGTTGGAGAGAGAGCGAGAGGGAAGGAGGGAGAGGGAGAGAGAGAGAGAGAGACTGAGACTGAGACTGAGACTGCGACTGTGCGAGACAGTGAGAGCGGGCATGCCAGTGCGCTTTCGACATTTGCACGGAGACTCACTGACAGAGCCCTTTTCGGCTGGAGCTGAAAGTCTTGACCGACCAAGGCCTCTCGCCAGGAGAAGGCCATGAAGCGCCGCTTCGTCGGACAGCCTCGACACACGACGGCAAAAGACCGGTAAGGCTTGAACGCCTTGTAGTTGCTCCTGCTGACAACTCTGTTGGAGCTGATTGGTCTGAACCAATGGCCGTTATCTGCACCTGGGCTGCCAATGGCCCAAGACCCTTGTACTCGTCGGGCGGCCTGACCTGCAGAAGCGCAAACAGGGAACTTCCAACTCTATCCCTCTAAGACTTCTCCAAATGCCTCATGGTGGAAAATGAAATCCTGCACGCTGAAGCGACCCTCACGCATCCTGCGCGGAAGCAGGCAGCAGGAATGCTCGCATTGCCTTGCAGTCCATGCCGTGTCATGTATGCCCTTGTCTGTTGTTGTCTATTGCTTAGACTTCAAAGGTTCCTTCCCACTCTTGACACAGAACCCCAGGACTCCTGTCCACATGTCTCCGGATGTATTGCCTGAAGACGCGGGGTCTTGTGCAGCCGCAGCCCTTTGCAGCAACTGTGGCCATGACTTCAGGGTGGATAGATTGCCCCGAGATTCAAAGAAGACCTGAACGGCGGCGTAACGCACAGGCTACTGTAGGAAGCACCACATGAGCGCGTGCGAGCGCCAAGCGGCGTCAGTTGCTGGCGGTGCCGCTGAATCACGGCTGCTGAGCTGACTCTGAGCCTCGCACTTCAAGAGCTCCGCGAAGGATATGCTGCCTTCAACTTCCACGTGTCGGGCACGACATCTCTGTCCCGTCTCTTTGCGCTTTTACTGTCAGCGCTTCGTCAGGGAGCTTCCCCCGTTTATCCCCCGAGGTCAAGCCGGAATACAAGTACAAGACACCTCTTCATTTCTTCTTCGCCCTGCCAATCCCTTCCGATTGTAGGGCCTGGGCCTGAGAAGCAAAAGGATCTACCTCTTTCGCACAGGGGCATGAGGAGGTGCTCTCAGCCCAATGTCGGAGTTCAACAATCCGAGAAAACAGAGATTTCCAACGTTTTTGATGACAATACCGGCTGAGGTAAGATGTCTGCATGATACTCGCAAGTCAGCACAGTTCAACTACCTGCGCCTGATGCCATAAACATCTAAATGAGATGATGCATAAACAAGCAACCTGCAATGGTACAGTGGGCTTGTTGAAGGATGCTGAAGGTCCTGTTCAGCTGGCTGCTTCGGAGAGCTGATAGGAACAGGGTTTCATGCCGGCATACACAGGTAGCTCAGCAATGAGTTGCGTAGTGTTTGTATCTCGTGTCATTCCAATCTGTTGGTCACTTGCAGGGCAGGCTGAATTTCCCGCTCAAGTGATGTGAGGTCCGTTGGATTTAGCGGAAATTCTCTGATTTCAAAGTCGGGAACTCGAGGGCACCCTGTTAAGCTTTACGTCAATAGGCCGGCGACCGGCTGTAGATTTAGGAAACCCTCGGGTCGTAGTCGAAAACTAGATGCTCCTTGTCCGGTGCTGTCACTGTACTGCACAGGCGTGCCCAGATGGCAGCCCTTCAGCGTGAAGAAGCACGCTCGCTCTCTGTGCTGTTCAAGCCTCTTCGTTTCTGCCTGTGAAACCTTTCAGTCTTCAGTTCCTTAGGAGGTCAGGACTTCGTGATGTGAGCCCGAGTTGGGGTCAATCTCGGGCCCCTCAGAGCCGCTAGTCTGTCTCTGGGGCGGGTCAGGCCCCCGGCCACTCTCTCTCTCTCTCTCTCTCTCTCTCTTCTTCTGCACAGCCAAAGGAGGGCAAGCCCTCCCCGCACGCGCACGCGCACTGGTCGTCGAGGTCTGTCTGTACCCCTCTACGAGATGAGGCCGCGGGTGTGATCTCTTCATCTCTCTCTCTCTCTCTCTCGCTCTCTCTCTCGCTCTCGCTCGCTCTCTCTCTCTCTCTCTCTCTCTGCCTCTGCAGTCATGGGTTACTCGTGCTGTCCAAGTGTCGTTGCTGCACATTGGTCCCTGCCTGCTTTACATTTTGTCACACGAGCGGTGTGCGCAACTGGCGGTGTAAGCTTGGAACGGACGGTTTCAATGCCCTTGGCGTCAAAAATCGGCGCAACCTCGACATTGATTGTCATCTGCTGCTTTTTCTGCACAATGTTTATCTTACGTAGACTCTTAGACTATGGCATCGGAAGGCGACATCCAAGCATGGCCGACATATCCTCAGTCTTGACCGCACTTCTGGAGCTGAAAGATGCAGAACCGATCTAGCATTTTCAGGACCTTCATGCAGACAAGTGACTCTTCTTGGAGGCGAGACAACAGGGCCTTGGCGAAATTGAAGCGTCTGCCGTGCAAGAAGGTCAAGTATGCAGGTTGCAAAAGCCCTAAGTCCAAACACAAGCGGCTGGTTGTAACCAAAAGGACTGCATGTCTGCGAGAAACCCAAACCCTACTAACCCTACATAAGAGGAGTGCCGGGCTCCTAAAAATCCCGGATATGACGGATGGCAATCGACGGCCGCAAAAAAGACTGAGTGGTTCTCAGAAGTCTCTTGTTGCGAACTGGATGTCCGCGACACGGTTGCGGGCGACGCAAGCAGGGGTTCTCAGGACGGCACCAGTACACCTTGTCCATCTGAAGCTCCACAGGGGTCGGGTTGTGGCTCGTCACCTGTGTGCATGGTGCTTCTGTTGTCTTGAGATGGCATGCAGTGAAGCTCCGTTGCGTCGCTTCAGGCCTCTCTGGCTATCCTTGCTCCTTCCTTGAAAGCTTCTTCCTGGCAAGCAGTCGTAAGCAGACTCAGAGGTCATCTGAAGCTGCACTCCCGGCTTCTCCGAGACCTTGGATCGCCCAGGTAGCCGGACGAACATCGAGTCGGTGTCACCGTAAAGGACCTGGCAGCTGCATTTCCTGTCGCTCTCTGCCAGCTCCTTCTGCCCCAATACTGTACTGTTACAACAGATGAACTGTAACTCTCATGATGTCATGGGCCGGGACCGATACCACAGAACTCCTGCAAGAAACTGCTGCGCTGTTGTGAACGGCACCATATGCTCTCTAGTTCGTCACAAGCAAGACAACGTTGTGGCGTTTTAAGCTTGTACCTTCGTTTTTTCTTCCACTCAATGTGGCAGTCTATAATCGCAGGTCGGGTCTCCTTCAGTAACAACTGCATTCTTTTGCAGCTTTATCAAGTGGGTGGAGTCATCAGCAATCTGCAACGAAGTGTCACTCGCTGTGACTCTCAGCTTTCTCTAGCATCTATGGTGGGCCGACCTTTCACTCTGCCGAGTGTTCAGGATTGGCCATAGTTTTCTTCAAGGGTGTGAGTCTGTTCCAAAGGCTCTGCTGTTTGGTTTCTCTTGCACAGCGATGGGGACAACATCCGGGCACGCGCGGGTGCCAGTCACTACCGGAGGCGCAACCTGATTCGGATGATATGGAAGCTTGATCGCCAATGCCAAAAAATCCCAAAGCGGGCTGGAGGCTGGCCTCGGCTCCGGACACCTCCGCCTCTACCCAGCGCACGGCTCTTTCCAATGTGCGCCTGCCGCCCAGGGCCGCAAGGAACAAATGTACGTGCTGCCTTCACAACGACTGCTGCAGGGCTCGCAGTCGCAATCTTCGCCTATCTTGGCTGTTGCAATGCTAATGTGTGTTCGCAACACCGTTCACACGGATACAAGCATGTGCGCATATATACAGATCACCATCACCAGGATCGTCATCATCATCATCATCGTAAAAATCATCATAGCCGTATAGCTCATTATAGCTCTGTCTCTCTCTCTCTCTCTCGCGCTTTCTCTGTGTACATATATATATATATGCATATCATATACATACACATATGTATTAAGTATTCTAGATACAGATATGCGAAATCTGCTGTGAACATGCATGTGCTTCCGCACCGGGCTCCACCGACACCGACACACCGAGAACAATTTCAACTACCGAGGCACCGGACCGACTGAATGATGTTGTCAAGGCTGATGCTTGATTCTCGAAAGGGCTCCCAGGCCACTCTCAGCACGTTATACCAAGCTTCCCCCTCTCACAGTAATCTGTCCGGTGTGCATTTTGGCCTGGCAGTTTGAACTATGGCATCAGCAAGCTCCACAAAAGGCATCCTCAGTTGTTCAGGGGACTTTTAGCGCATAACTGTGCCGGCATCATGCGCAAGCATGTCAACCACCTGCCTACCGCTGAAGGATGCGCCGGTGTAGCCATACGTGACCTAGGCAGCCAGGATGTGGACACAGTCGACACCACAATGTGATCAGCAATTTGCTAGCTTCTCACGTTCGCGATCATCTTGAGGCCAAACTGCCTCGCGTCCAGCAGTCGTGATCTTGCCTGAACGGCTTTTCCTAGGGCCCTCAGCACGCCCAATGTGCGCTGAAGAAAATGCATGGAATCCGCACAGCATTCAGCTAGTTGTTTGTGAAAAAACTCTACTCGGGGCCTCTGTAGCCACTCCAGCTTCCTTCTGCTCCTTCTGTAAAACCTTCAAAGCCTTCTTGACCATGATTCGCGTCCTCGCATGCCGGAAACCAAAACCTACTAAGGCTTACTGAGGAGTCGAATCTTAACGTAGATAGTTCGACCTAGTCTTAGATCAATGAGCTAGACTTGAGTACTGATGCAATCACGTGTGGCTCGTGTGAGCTAAGAGTTGAAGAAAGTCGTGCAACCAGGACAACATGCGGTAAGTCTCCGGCTGCAGAATCTCATGCAGCATTCGAGGCAGTATTCCAGGCTTCTTTTCTCGCTTGATGAAGACAGCCTGCCCATCTGTATGAAAGCTGCGAAGACCGAGTAAAAAATTTCTGACGTGAGCCTCGTTTGGCGTCACAAAGACGTCCTGGAGCCTCCACACAGGTGCATCTCCTGCTAAAGGCCACCCATGACAGGTGAGCGCCTCAGGGCGGCGTGCTCGTATGCCTGCAACGAAAGTCACAACACAACGCATCCCACTCAGCGTGCTAATATGGGGAGGGATCGAATCTAACGAATGTGTGGAGCAGTCTGTAGAGCACACGCTTCTTTGTGGCCCTCTCAGGAGGTTACATGTGGGGCCAACTGCTAACCAGCAATCGCAGGAAGACCAACGAACTAGAATCATGTTTTGGGCATGGCAAGCTTCGTCTAGTCCAGAGTGAGTCGGCTCGAAAGCAAGCAAAGCAGGGAGGATTTAATTAGACTCAAGAGTGGGTATGAGTATGAGTTTCCAAAGTGGGTCGGGCCAGGAACATTTGACCTGGGCACTAGCTGGGTTTAGACAGACGTAGGAGGAGTGCGAACGAAGTGGGCCTCTCTCCCTCAGAGCAGCCTAAGCCCACACTTAACCCCAGACCTCCTAAACACAAAACCTTGCCAACACTGACGTCAGGTCACTTGCATCGGAAAGTCGTGAAGCCTCCAGCACCCCCAATTTGGCTTGGGCACCGATATCCTGAAGGCGACCCGCCTGAGACATTGCATTTCCAACAGCGGGACATGAGCAAAGTCATCGGCCCAGCAGGCGTCTGCAGGCTCCGTTTTCGTAGGACCGGTGGGGGGCAGGGTGTTGACAAGCTTTGCTTTTGCGCTACGAAGGAGGGCAAGGATTTGGTCAGCCTCGGCTTGGAGGCTTGATACTTTCCGACGCTTGCTTTGCCGCACTGCAGCATTGCCACCCTTTGACTGCATCTTACTCCCTGATGTGTCTGACGACAGGGCGCTAAAGGATTCACCAACTGCGAAAAACTTCGTTGATGTGGTCACGGTGGCAGATCGTCGGCTCGGATTTGCACCGCAGAGCCCGAGCTGGCTTGGCTCCTGCCCGTACTAGTAGCACGTTTTTAATTTGCAGTTCCGTGCGTCACTCAGTCTGCGCGTGCTTCTCTGGTTCGACGAACGCACGCAACAAATCAACAAACACTTAAACACTGTGGAACAAAAGTGCGAACAGCAACCCCGACTCCGACGAGCATTCCAGATTGCACACTGCTCTTACCGAGAGGAACCTGAATTCCAGCTGCAAGCTCAGGGTGCTGCGCAGGTGGAGAAGCAGAGGTTGTAGGCGATTATAATTGAAGGGTACAGCCTTGACCAAGGTGTGCAATGCAGCTTGCACTGCTCCACTGGGTTCGTAGGACTTAGATGCAGGCGACTGGAAATCCAGAACAACGACTGGGTCGAAATAAAACCCACTTCGTGGCCTCGGTTGATCTTGAAGCTTCTTGCAGAATCTTCTGAAAATTTGCCTGCTGCACTGCAGCTTTCAGTGCATGGATCCTCTGTGACTGTTCGCCAGATTTAAAGCTTTGGACAACCTCCTGGGACTGAGGCTTGCACTCCATCACCAAAGGTATGCATTCTGCACCGCGTTGGCCAGCGACCTACGTCTTTGAGTGCTGCAAAATTTCACAGGGCTTCGGGCTACCCACATCGCTTCGCCGCTTCGCCGCTTCGCCGCATCGCGTTCCACTACGCACCTGAGACCTGGAAGGTGAGAGAAGCAGCATTCGCTCTTGGTGGGCTGCCCGAGTCAACCTGGCACCGTGGTAGCTTTTGCAATTATGGCTCCTGATGCATGGAAAACTCATAAAGACCTGCCGGTGCCGCAGCCCTTCGACGCGAAACTGGGATCCTCTGCACAAAACGCTCAGCCTGAAGAGAGGTAGGCAGGATTACCGCAGAGTGGAAATGTCAACATGGAAATTTCACTCAAGGATACAACCAAATCTCGACAGAGGCAAGGCGTGGCAAACTGTTACCGGAGCGGAAATTCACAGAACTGCAAGGACACATTCAGCCAAGGCGGGCCTCCAGAAAAAAGTAAACAAAGTATGACGCTAAACATTGAACACGCAAAGAGATGGATCCGAACACCAGCGCCTGGAAGGACCAGACTGTGTCAAACCTTCGCAGTCAACACCTTGGAACAGCCTGGTGCCTGGCAAGCCCCAGGACTCATATACTCTTCGCAATCCCTGATGACGATGCGAGTCAAAACCATAAATTCGAGAAGGAACTGTTGGGAGATACAGCCAAAACGAGGCCTGGAGAGAGTTATCGTGAATTATGGCTGATCCCAGTTTAGGGATGTGCCCGAACCGGGACGAGTGATGGCTGGAAAATGCACAGCAACAACGAACATGACCACGACAAGAGCTGCAGCAGAAGTCGCTCCCGTCCAGTGCTTGAGCACGGGATTCAGTCGAACGCTAGGCTGCGAGGCTATCCCACAAGCTTTACCAGCACTTCCAGTTTGTCGAATGTCAGTGTCGATAGCAAAATATGGTTCTGCAATCATGTCGGGTTCCAGTTGCAAAACGGGATCATGGCTCGGGGCTTGCTGGCGGATCAGACGGACAGGGATAGCTTAAGCGTTGCCAGCTTCAGAAACTCAGTGTCGGAAAGCCCACGAGGCCGAATCGTCACTCATGTTTTAACTATGCGAGTTGGACTCTGAGCTCTTGTCACGTCTATGCCCAGCATCCTCGCAGTCTCCGCCGCACGCGGGAGCACCTCACGACAGAGAGCCATCCGTGCAGAAATACTCTGAAAGCCTCTGACGTCAAAGAGTGGCACATTTAGCGCATCGAGCAGTCGCAAGCTGCATCTTGCCTTGCCTTCGAGGAGCACTGTGCCAGGCAAACAGGCTGCAAGATTGAAACATAATGCTTCGGGAAAAGAAAACACTCCTTGGGCGTGGACATAGCAAGACTTCAGCTGCTTCCCGCCTGCCTGCATCGTATCTTGCGGATGGCCAGCTTACAGTTTGCAGATGAGTCTGTTTTTCCACTGCGCAGCACTGGATCTGAAGGAAGCAATAAACCGATGGCCCGCGAGCTGCTGCATATCTTGCCCAGTGGCAAGGCCGTATGCAAATCTTGACCGTGGCAGCCAGCGAGCGCTGCCGCATTTATGCAAGGTCAATAATCCTGTTGGATCTTTCGCCGCGGCAGCATTGCTGGGACGTGCAGACCTCTACTCTGGCCTCAAAGACAGAGACGGGCTGGCAAAGTTCAGTGCAGCTGCAGGAGATGCGAATTTGGCATGATCATCGAAGCTTTGTGCCGGATACCTCACGGGGGCTTTGGATGGAATGGAGCAATGGACAACAAAGGTCGAAGCCCCTGCCTCAGTCCAGGAAGCCGAATGATCTCGCCATAAATCGCTTGGCCGGTAATCAGCACAAAGAAGCCGCAAAGCTGCAACCTGCTGGAAGGAGTCCACTCTTCGCCAAAGGGCGACTCCGGATCCACTTTGTAGTGAATGAAAAGTCCAAATCCCCAGATGATCATTGTCCTGACTGCAAGGCCGCAACACCAAGTGTTCAGGCACCCCTGTGAGTTCGACCCAAGATCATTGTCAGACAGTGCTGCAACTGTAACCGTCGGGTTTGATGTGGACTGCAGGCTCAGGCTCGGCTGCCTGGGCTCCCAGCTGAGCGTGCTTTGTCCCCAAGTGTCGCTGGCAGAGGCATGCTTGACTGAAATGATAAGCAGGCTTCAAACAATCGGAGGCTGTCTGCCCATGCTGGATCAACATAATTGCGATCTGTATGAACTGACCCATAACATGCTGCTGTCCGACGTCCCTTTGACGCTGTGGGCTCTCCTTGTGTCCTGTGGCTGCGCTTTCAACGGACTGTGGCCCTGGAGAAGCCCCGCAGTGGACACCAAGCACTCATGGTCCTTCATGGCCTATGGCTCAAACTCTACAAGGAGCCCCGTGGACAGGCAAGCTATTCTCCAGGCCGGCGTGGCTTGGAAGTTCTGCAGCTTCTTATACTGCAGAGAGCGAGAGCGACAGAGAGAGAGAGAGAAGGAGAGAGGGCAAGAGCGGCATAAATAGATAGGTTATAGGTAGTGGGTAGATAGACTGTATGCACTTATTCAGAGCAAAACTATGGCTGCAGACCCCCGTTCACATCTGCTTGCCTGCGTGTTGGTTCCTCGGACGGCGCCGGTACGTGCCCATGCGTTTTTACACATTTCAGGCTTTCGGGGGNNGGGAAACGGCATCTTAACCTCAAATTGTCAAACAGTGGCACATAAAAGCTTCTACGTCGACGTTATGGTACATCTCATCACCTCAGCCATGTGTGGCAGACTCGCTGGCGAAAAGCCACAAGACATACGAGCCTCTTGTGCGCGTTGGGACAATTAGCGAAGGCGGCGGCGCGAGCAAAATGAAGACCTATGGTACTTTAGCTCTTGCCTCAAGCTTCAATCCCTGATCCTACCTAAGTAAGGCAAGTCTAGCAACTCAGGACTACTTCCTCTAAAATTCGATCTCACGTAAAATCTTTTTTTGCAGCCTCTTGAAAAACAGGCTCAAAACCGAGGCGAACACGCGGTTGGGCCCCGAGTTTACTTGAGCCCCTAGCGTTTCGCGCGCCTGCCTGGACTACAGGTTTTGCTGAAACTGTGCTCTCGCTGTGGTTTCGTGCGAATCCATGTAGAACTACTCATTCTGAATTGTGTAAAAACGCATAGGCGAGTACGGCCGCCGTTACCTGGTTCATCTTCTGAAGACACATGGTCACAGATGCTCGTACGCCCGGAAACACCGGCTGTCCTGGAAGCATCCAGCATCTGTCGGTGCACGGCCGACAGAGCCCCGGTCACTGCAATTCCGGTGATGTTGAAGGTGCCGCAGGAAACCAGATATATCATCACGACACACAGGAGTGCTTGACCTTACGTGCGCAGACACCTTTTTGAGCCTAAAGCTCTTGACTGTCTTTTCTTACTTTCGACCTTAGCTTTGCCTGGACAACTCCACCTCTCTCCATCAGCTTTTGGCTAGAATCAAGCATGTGAAGCCCTCTTTGGCAGGTGACTGTTTTTGACCAGAGTAAGCGTGTCCACAATGTCCTCGGCGTGACCATGGTCTGGACCAGGCAAGAACCAGAGGGTTGGGTACACCACCACGACCATCATCAGCACACCCCATAGGCCCTCGTAGCCAATGATCTCTACTGCCGGTAGGTCCACATCCTTCATGAGGTACTCCTCCGCGATGACCTCGGTCGCTAGGGCTCTGGCCACACTGGCCAGGTCAAAGTTGCCGATAACTACACACGCGTGCTGCACTGTTACGCAATCTGGCCTGGGCAGCCTGGACCACTTGTCCAAGTAATGTCACTGTAACTCCAAATGCCACAGATGATGTGTCTTGTGCCCCTGGTCCACTCTTTTCGCCCTCCACGCTGGCATAGCCGACTGTCACGACACCTGCACCAATGATCTGACTCGAACCCAGAGATGCAGCTCAAGCAGAAACACAGGTCGGGTGCAGTACTGTCAATCGCTCAGGACATGTGGTCGCAGCAATGGCCTGTGATGCAAAGCAGAAGACCGATCCAGTTGAAAACATAGAGCTTGTGCTTCAACAGTGTGACGGAGAAGATGCCCGTGAAAAATAGAGTTGCACCTCAAGAAGCGGCTCACCAACCACAACCCACCTGTAACATCTTGCAACACCTGCCATGAATGCGAACAACGCATGCGACAAATCCAACCGATTCTTTAGACTACGTTGAATCATGCTACGCTGATACATGTTGTCATGACATGTCATGACGTTGGGGCAAGGACCTCTGAGCATTTGCCACACACTGGCTGGGATGTACATGATCCCGATGCAGGCCAGAACTGTCGCCAGCAAATCACTGAAAGCAGGGACAGCCACCAGCAGAATCTTCTTCCGTCTGTCTGCATCCGATCCTGGAATGGTTCATGGGCGGCACTTACTCTCATCGGAAGCACCAATACGAACTAGATGTAGTCAAGGCACCGACTGATTTTGGCAGGAGTGCATCCTCTGACACACGAAGCGAAGCAGACGGAGATAAACAGGTAGGCTTCACAAACAGCTTCCACTCCACTAGTTAGTCGCCAAATTCGCCAGCCATGATGTCAATACGACTACATGCGTCATCTAGCTTGACCGCTTCACATTCACACCTCTGCCCCCCCCCCCCACACACTGACTCGCGAGCGAGTTGCTCGGACCATCAGCTGGTGCGGATAGAAAAGCATCCGTCAAAAGTAGGGTTCCCCGCAGGCACACAGCCAAGCACCGCGGCGAAACATAAGGAAACGATTTGACATAATGAAAACAAGTCTGCCAACTCAGGCATAGAGGACAGGGCCAGAAAAGTCTAGGAGCAAATGACAGCCCCACACTGAGCAATTGAAGTTGTCCTCCATCTTCATGCGAGGACGAAGGCAGGCCGCAGCTAAGCTGGTTCCGAGCCGCTCCACGGCCATGACAAGCGACATAGCCTCAACAGTCTTTTTCTGCTGTGTCATCCATACATCCTCTACGATTGCAAAGATGCTCTCGAACCCGGCAGCTACAGCCAGTACTGGGACCGCTGCAAAAAGCATGTTGAATGTTCCAAACCACGGCTTCTGGAAGATCTCTGGCGTGCCGTCCTTACATGCATCACGCTGCAGCCTTCTTGTCTTAAAGTAGTGTGAAGCAGTGCTTCAATGATGCTAAAAGCTCTCAGACCTAGATATAGTCCCATCTGCCGGAAACTATGGCTTGAAAAGCTTCCATGGAATTAAACCTAAAGCAAGCGTGGACCAAGGGCTGTGCCTGCACGGCCTTACTTGCGCAGTGTTTGGGCTTCGGCCCTGGTCGCCTTCATCGATGCAGTCGAGCCACAACGCCGATGCTTGTCAAGCCAAACTGGACCTTTGTGGCCAAGGTGTTCACTGTACCCGTCAGCAGCATCCCAGCCACATAGATCGCTACCAGCCATGTAGGTGTTTTCCTCGGCTGGGCTTTGACGGCTTGCATTTCGTGCCTTCAAGCGGACAGCGGAACCGTCGTTCTGATGGCAGCTCAGGATCCTCTGCGCCATGCCGGAGTCTTGCAGCCGGAAGATGTCGCTGCCCTCCGCTCTATCCCTTTACCAAGCTCGCTAACAACCTATTTTGAGGTGTTTGGCCACTCTTTTTGCCATAAGCTTGTGTGTGATTCATTGACTTTTCGTCTGCTTCGACATTCCTTGAGCCATCAGAAACCTGCGAACCGCTGCCAACTACACTGTGACGAAGCCCCAGCTGTCCCAGAGTCAACCGGAGCCAAGGCACGTTGGACGAGATTGCTGCTCCAACGGTCAGCCTCAGCGCGGAGCCAGATTTGTAGGAAGCCCATGAGGTCTTGATTGAGATGTACTCATCGAGCTGTTGTCCTACAGGGAGAAAGTGTGCTGGATGGAGTTGGAGTGTAGTACGGCTTAGAGGTCGCCATCCCAAACCCATCTATCTGGGCATGCTTTCTTTGTAATAATGCCCTGTTGCCTGCCAGCGCAGCCAAGGTTTCCTTTTTGGTACTTTTTTCTCATTTGGCAGGCTGTATGCTGTGAAAGCTTTCCGGAGCAAGCTGTGCAGATCTCATCTGGGCTTGCGACCAAAGCTTCTGACGGCAGCAGTGGAAGGGTCTCTCCAAGACTGGCAGAAGGAAGGTTCAATCCAATCTTCGACTGCTGATGCTCCGGCAGAGATGCAGCTCATGCAGCAATGAGTGCTACACGACGCAAAGGGACGGGACAAGGTGCACACAAAAATCTAACCTTACAGACCACTTCGACATCTGTCGGCATTCGCTTGGAACCTCAGTTATCTCGCGGTGGGAGTTCTAAATTTTCCTTACGTTCTGGGCCCAACCGTTCGGCCTTGTTCCAGCGAGACGTGAAGTGCTATCCTTCTGGCTGTGACCGTGCTGGTGCTGTCGCTGGTGTGATAATCTTGAATCTTGGGAGTTTCGGACTTGTGGCTTAAATGATTAACAATCCCGACACGAGCTGCAACGATGCCATCTGAGGCCGCCACAGCACTTCCGCAGCAGTGTGCAAAGAGCTCGTTGGCAGCTTGGCCTCAGCTCGCAGCACCTCAGCGTCAAAGACTGTCGACGGTTTTCGACTCTTCTGGGTGGCATTTTACTCTGATGTGGCTCTCAGCAGCCTTAGCAGCCTTAGCATCTTGGTACGGCTCATCAGGATGCAGCGTCTTCTGGCAAGCAAGCTTCAGACCCGCCAAACGTTGAGAACCAACCGGCCAGGCAACTCAAGGCCTTCGAAAGAATCTAACGAAGAAGCTCGCCACCCACGGCCTCCATGGTCCTAGTCTGAAGCGCAAGGCCTCCACTCATCTGTTCCGGGGGATACAGTTTGCGAGGTGCACCTGTGCAAGAGGCGGAACTCGGACAACAGGGTGGGGACAGATAATTTGCTGACAGAATGTCACAGCGCTTTTGGCCGCGGGCGGGTGCGATGCTGTCTGCCTACTACACTCAAACTCTGCGTCAGGCAGTTCCCAGCCTGCTTGCTCGGGGCTGCCGTGAGTATCTGCAGCCAGGTACCAGTAGTGAACAGCAACATCTTGCGCCTGTGGCCTGCAACCTGGCTGGACATTGCTGCAGCCTGCAGCAGGTGGAATGTGACCGGATGCGTACCGACGAAGTCCCGCGAACTATGAGGTATGTAACAAGGGTAAGAACATGGCAGAAGTTCAATTATCCTAAAGCAGATGTGAGGGACATGTATTATACTCCATCCGTGGGTCGAGCGGGTTCTACTCGGAGTTTCACTCAGTTTCTCCGACTTGGCTTCGACTTTGAAGCGGGTCATAGATACAGTAGTCCAGAGGAGGTCACACTTTCTTGACCCAGTCACCTGCATGTAACCGTGCCGCATCAACATACGGCCATACATATGCATCGCATCGTGCCTCCTGTTGACCACCAGTCCTTGAATTGGCTGCTGCACGCGCCAGGTCTTGCGAGAAACCTGAAGCATCGATGGCATGGTCACTGTATCGATGAAGGACACCTTCCTTCTGTGCTTCGCGCCTCTCAGGCCCAATGTCTGGGCACGGGAAATTAGTCGTCCAAGGGATCCTTTTACGACGTCCTTGGTCGTCGGCACAAGCTGCGGTTCAAACAATTGCATGTGGCGAGTTGTCCGGCAAGTCTCCGACCGTGACAAGGATGTGATAGGGGGTATTACATTGGAGCAGGTCTTAAACAGCTTGTGTTCTCAAGTTCCCATTCAATGCAAAGAACACGGCCGGCCTCCCAACTTGTCCCATTTCTTTGTATACATGCAGAGGATAGGCCCTCCATGAAAGGAGCTGGATCGACACACATGAGGCCGCAATTGCAACTTGTACTGTATTCATCCTCTTTCACGATCCAAGGAGCTTTCGACATTAATCCGTCGTGAGATGGTTTGCTGTCCGCATGCTCCGCTTGCCAGGCACAATCCGGCTCTCTCGCACCGTGGTGTTTGGGGAGCCCTACATCCTCAAGGGACATGGTTCGCATCGGCCAGTGGGCTATTATGAATGGTCTTGCACTTGTGAAGGCCGTTGGCGGAAGGGCCGTTGACTGCATTTCTTTCGTCGCGGGCCCTTGTGTGGAAGTTTCGGTGCTGCATTATCAGTCGGCACGGCTGCTTATGTGGGCAAGCTTTGTGAGAACGCACGACAAGAACCTGCACGCATCAAGTGGTAATCCAATGGCCCTCAGGTCCAACTCATCAGCTACCACAGAGGGGCGCGCCCAAGAAGAGCAACTTGTGCATCGTTGGACACACAACTCATCACACTGTGCACCAATCGCAGCCTGATCTACACCGTGGTTCGAGCTCAAGTCATGTAGCTCCTGCCGAAAAGAAAACAACGCCTAGACTTGCAGTCAAACCTGTTCCAGCAGTCCAAGCGTACAGGGGGTCACCGCGAGTTGTAGATCGTAGGCCTTACGAGAGTCACCAATCCTTCCCGGCTCCGCAAACAGTCAGTCTCGCCCGAAAACGCCAAAGCAATCCTAAATGCCCTAAGCCTCGAATTGGGCTCGCACGTGAACCCAGCCGTGAATCAGCCTGAACCTTTGACCTTCAAGCAGGTTGAACCTCAAATACCCAAAGCTTGGAAGGACAAGTCGTCGTATTGCTTTGATACGTAGAAAGGAGGTAGGTGTGATTGCAGTTGGCACAATATGGCACGATGATCTGTGGTGAGCCTGCAGTACTCTGCCGGGGTTTTGATCTACCTCTTCGTGCATCTACCGTCCTCCTGATTCCCACACTGTTCGCATATTGCATGATCCGTTTCGGTTCCCACTCTGCATCACTCTGCGACATACCGACGGCCAGGCAAGCTGGGTGAACGGTGGCTAGTGTGACCGCTGGGACGCCAGCATATCCCATAACGACAGCTGGATCTGTTTCCCGGAAAACGTCCGTCAGTGCGCTGAAGATGTCAACCTCCGAAGCAACCTCCTGAGTCGATGGAAACTGACGAGAGTCACAGAGCAACCATGGAATGATTCGTCCTTCACCACGACAGCGGAATCAATCTTCAGAGTCTCTGAGCCCTCGATGCAGATCAGGCCAAGGCCGTCCTGTATCGGCCGAAGCTGAAAAGGGATCTGAAGGGCATGAAGAAGCCATGCCGTTTGCAATCCTCAGAGGCCTGCGGTCCTGGTAGTCTTCTCCATCTTCGGCAAGCAGACTCCGAACCCGCTCCTGAGGTCGCTAAAGCAACCGGCCACCGGCCTTCAACTCCGGCCACCAACGTCTCAGCTCAGCCGAGCAGCGTCACGGACGCAGAAAGCCACGGCACCAATAGCATCGCTCTGAAACCTCGCTTTGAAAACTTGGCGACTTGTCACGTATTTTTTATTGAAAAGGTGTGTATGTATATATATATATATAATATATTATGTCGGTGACGGAAGCGATGCTGGCACAATCAAGTCGCGGCTGTGCAGTGCCGGCTCTTGGGAGCTCTAGGACCTGCCAGGGCATCCGCAGTCTGCAGAAGTCCGCAGATGTCTGCAGGACGATGGCAAGACGACGCATTGGATCGCATTGCTCTCGCCTCGATGGTCAGCAGGGTGCCGAAGAGAGGTGCAGAGTCTGAAGCCTGGCATAGTGGCTTTGGCGGAGCTGGCGTCGGTGGTGTTGCCTGCAGTGCCGAAACCAATGAGCAGTTACGAGCTGTAGTCAGTGGTACTGTAAACTCCATTCCTTCGAGACCCACCTCAGAAAGGGAAGCCTGTCTGCTTCGCTGTAACCGCTTTCCTTCTTAGGACAGCGAGCACTTGCCGTCTTAGGACAACGAAAAGCTTACCTACAGGACCTAGAGCTCATTTTGGGTCTCTAAAACGCAAGATTGCAAAGGTCCTTGATTCTCCGTTGCCGCCTTGCGCCGAAGGGTAGTCAACCGGCCTCTTGGCTGGCAACGTCGGGCAGAACGCTTCTGAGACTTGCATATCCATAGCAGCAACAGACATGGCAGAACGCAGCTTACATCAGGCATGCTGTGGATAATGCCGATATTCGCTGCTCAGACAATGCAAAGCTTGTGCTACCAATTGTCAGCGGTGTCCCATGCTTTCCTCAGCCTTTTTTCCTTTTGCAGAAACGAACTATACCGGAAGTCAATGGTTACAGTCAATGCATTACTCTACATAGCCGCAGCCCTGCACGATGTGGCTTTTGCAGACAGAGGAGTTGGTTCACAGAAGGGCCTGAGCCAACACTCACAGAGCCGTCGAAACCAGAATGTTACACAACATGCCAGCCAGGCCCGCATTGTCAAACTTGGTGATTACGTCGTCTCCTGCCGCGGGCTGTGCGCACGCTCCCCGAACGGACGGTGCTGCGGGACAAGCCTTCGTCGTCTTGCAGACGCTTGACGTTCAACCGCGCGCTGGCCTGTGATGGCACAGGCGGGGGCACATACTGTGAGAATAGCTGCAGAGTACTGTACTACTCGACTGTTTTCGAATATGCTAGACTGATACTCCTCAGTGCCAACCTCACTTCCGAAACCAAGAGGTACCTCCATCGCGAAGCTTCACTTGAGAGCCCAGAGCATAACATTTCGGTGAAGCTATCAGACGGCGAATCTTCGGGACCCCTTCAGACCTCGTACGCGGGTGGCGGCTGCCAATACTCCCATACACCGGCCTTTCGGAATCGCTGCTGGGGCCGAACATGGCCGAACTTCTTTGCAAAACCGATCATTGGGCCTGCTCGGTAGCCGCTGGGCCCAAGGTGCCCATGTCATCAGGCCTTCCACGGTTGCCACTTTTGGCGACTCGGCGACTCTCTCTCGCATCCGATTGCAGTGACGGCGGTCTGAAGCGAGCCCTTCGTCATTGTACCATCCACAACATGTCCAGATTCTAAGAAATTTTGGAAACGCCTGCGCATGTTGCGTGGCAAGGGGGTGTTCCTCCGAACATGTATTTGTGGTTTTTCATTGTCTTGCTCCGACTCTTCTCTTGATGCCAGGCTTCCATCATGCAGTTCACCAGGCCGCAAAAGAGACCGCTAAAGCCGACGCAAGTTTTGACCGCATCTCTGTTTGAGCACCCACCTTCCTTCCTCTGCCTGCCTGCCTTCCTTTCCTTCGTGTACTCAGAGCTTCTGCACATTGAATCAGCATGCTGAGTATATGAAAGCACCGGGGAGGCGGCTCTGAAAAGAAACCTTTTGCTGGTGGTAGTGGACCTTGCATGCGAGATGATGGCTGGGCCGGGACAGCCGAGAGCTTTCCGGCATTCCGAAAGGCCTGACTAGCCGGCGCTACATAATGTCGGCAGATGGGACTGAGGCCGGTCACCAGCATCCTGCCGGACTGAGGCACAAGCCCTGTTCGGAACTCTGGACGGCATCCGCTATGATCGGAAAAAGATCAGCCTTAGGGGCAATTACAGTCAGAATAGCTGAAGCCTTGCAGTCAGGCATTTCATCGCAGGCATATCGCTGAGTGCCGCACCGGCCTCACAGGTGACATGGACGTCTGACTCCTTTTCGGCCTGGGGTGGATTCTTATGACATAGAGGCAAGCTTCAACTGACAGAAGCCCTGCAACTTGCCGTGCCCTACGAAAAGACGCGGACAACCAACAACTCAAAGCCCGCCACTGCGTTCGAGCCTCTTGAATTCACAAAACCAGCATGCACGGCACACTTGTCAGATTGTCCCCTTTGCGACTGCCGACAGTCGAGCCCGCTTGCTTTGGCTTTTGCATGCTCTTGGGATCTGGCAAGTCGGCCTCACCGCATACCCGGGACTCAATTGTGTCATGCATCGCTCTATGTCTCAAAGTGCGTGCCTGCGTCACCAAGTCCAGCTGTGTCGGAGCACACTCCGTCGACTCCGCCGCCGCCAGCTCGGCGTCCAACCTTCAAAGAGAACGTCTTGTAGCTTCTAACACCTGCTATAGTTTAGAAGCTCACGAAGCTGCAGCCAAGTAACACAAGCCACAAGATCGCGTTTCACTCAGGTGCTGGCGCTTCGGCCTCCTGGTCTTCGTCCAACTCTGTGGTGCCGCAGTCCGTCTCAGGCTCGGTAGCCGTGTCGTCCTAGAACGCCACAGCTGCCGTGAGGCCGTGAGGTCGGATGCTCGTGTCGATGCTGGATGGCGGTGGGTGCACGGAAGCTGCACATCATTCGCAGCGAGAGAGGAGCAGAACACTGAGGAGAACTGACATCGACAAAACGGTCGAGTGCCTAACCCCAGCTTAAAGACGCATTGGGCACGTCGCAAAAAACGTCGGCTTTCCATATCTCACAATTTCCGTCAAAGAGCGTGACACGCGGATGGATGTTGAATTGCTTGGCGTGGCATAAAGATTGCCATGTTTGATGGCGAGCATACTAGGATCTAGCTTGTCTGCACGGCAAGGCAAGTTGACAAGGGAGGTATGAGATTTCGATGCGACCCATTACGGACGAAGCGACTCCATCCCATTGAGCTCCTCCAAGATCCTCCGCTCCTCACCTGACTCCTGACCCGGCTGGAACCCCCATTCAGTACAAGCACCTTGGTTGGAGTGTCCAGGGTGGCAAAAAGTTTTCGGCGCTTTGGTGGATCGATGATTCAAGGTTGTTTGGACGCCTGCCAACATGTTTGCATTCTTCCCAGGCTGGGGCTACATCAGCAATGGCTGGCAAGCGTCTTGCCTCAGCTTTAATTTCGATCCCACTTTCCCAGGCTACACAACCCTACCACAGCATACCAACGTGAGGGCTTTTTCCCACGCTTATTCGCTGAAGAACCACAGACACCAACGACGCACAGGATGCTTCCGCAGTCGCGCAAATGCGGCATGCAGCTCACAGTAATGATTCAGTGATGCTCATAAGGCTCTGCAGGCAAGCTTGGCGACTGCAGATGTTCCGGCCGTCCTGCGGATCGCTTTGCTGATAGCCTGGAGGCCATAGTGTTGCACTTCCAAAGCATCATGGTGCGACTTGTCACCTTGATCCAGCAGGGCCGTCGTTGCTTCATCCGCCGGCGGATCCCTTGGGACAAAGACTGTGAGAACACGCACAAGATCACTATGAAAACCAGGAGCTGGACAGAAGCAATCCTGAGTAGCCTGCACTTGCTGTGAAAGCGCCACCTTGTCAGATACAAAGGCAGCCTTCCATATCTTCCATGAGTTCGAGGTCAGCTAGGGCCTCCAAGGTCTCCAGTGCTCTCACAAACTTAGGCGAGACCTTCCGTGATGCATGCAAGCTTCCCCATGAGAGAACATGACATCAATAAAGGCTTGACTTCTTCAGCTACAAGCCGGTGCTTTCCCCTGTCAGCTGGACTTGTAAGATCCATTAAGATCCTGAAGCAGTCAATGCTGCCTTGCACTTGGTGTCGGCCTGCCACAGATTGAGCATAAAGGCTCCGTTCTCGTTTCATATCAAGCTATGTCACGCTCATTCTACCGTTTGGCCCGCCATGGCTTTGCTGTCCACCTGCGCCATGTCCTGCTGCGTCCAAGCACCCGCTGCCTGTCAGCAGCAGCGCGAAAAGCCGTTGCTGACAGAGATACAACCAAGGCAGGCAGCCTCGCTTCCACGTCCCGGTGACACAGACTCTCCGATGGTTCGAGCTGGTGCGGCGTGCCTTTGGCCTGTGCAAGGCTACTTGCATGGCTGTATTCCACACTGTGCTACGCAGGCTTTCACTGTGACACAAAGGCCTTCCAGCAAGACCTTAAGTCGCTGCATCATGCACTCTTCCATCACATCCGGCGTGAGGGCTGGTCAGCACGACTGCATATGTTTCAGTGCTTGCCCGTGGTGATGAAACGAAGTCAACTGTGCTGTGCCTGCTGCGCCCGGTCCCGGCACCTGCAGCTGTAAGTTCACAGAGCCTTTGGGGTTGGAGGAGCAACGCTGCGCACTTTTGTGTGTGGCCTACTGCCTAAACTGAGCCGGTTACTCCGGGCTGGCGTGGAGCCGGGTCCCATGGAACGGGCTGCGCCAGCACTGCCAGATATCTTTTGCGATTTCGTGGTCAGATTCGTCGCCGAAGGCATGACCGCACGGTCGCCGGCCTGTGCAGCGGCGTTCCTCGTCCCTCCACAGCTCTCGTAGCGTGTCCTCGAAGGGATGCGACACGGACCAGCTGGATGCAATGATGGAAAGTGAATGTCAAGAAAAATCCACTGACAGGCAAGTCACGCATATCCAGCCACGTGTATGGTCTCGAACGGTAGCTTCTTGGGCTTCGAAGCTTGGCATCTCACTGGCGGTAGACGAGAGAGGAGGCAGAATGTCCTTCGCCGCAGAAGAGATCTCAGCGCTCAAGACGACTGACACCGCAGGGCTCTGACCGTCGCACTGCAGTCGACTTCCACCTGGCCGGCAGTCGCATGCAGTAGCTCAGCAACTGCTACGACATGCTACGACGCTCGATCTAACAAGGCGGCCGTGCCTCACAGGTGGTTGCACGCGGGTGTACAGACTTGGGCCTCGCCGAAGTCGTGTAAGCGGGCTTTCTTTGGACACCGGCGCTCCCGGGCGCGCCTGGACTCAGAGGCGGCTCGGTCACACCACCACGGGCGCTCCAAGGAGCGCCTTCTCAGCAATCGTTCTCGGGCGCCAGAGCCCAACTTGGAAACCCACTGAGGATGCCAAGGAAAAGTCGACAAGGCTTGCTCGGGAAGTTCACCACGCAAGGCGATTCGTGTAGGATCGACAACAAGCTCCCTCATGCCACCAAGTCCAAATGAGTCCAAGAAGTGCAGCAGGTATGGCAAGTGCACCTCGAAGGGTTGAAAAGATGTGGACAGCACGGCGCCTTGCTGCAAGAGATGCGCCATCAGTCCCACATACTGAGGTTGTGAGGCCCAGATTTGGATAAAGAGCTCGTCACGCTCGTCCCCGTCCTCGCCTCTGCCGTGTCCGCTACTTCCGTACACAGACTGCCAGCCAGTCACCCACCGCAGGTCGTACACATACCTTGGCCATTGCGCGGAATGCTTCAAATGCCAGTGTTCACAGCAAACGCCGGCATAGCAAAATTCAAGTGTGTGGGGATGTGAGATTTGAACATGCCTGCGGCTGAATGAGTTTAGCTTAGCGGGCATGCGAAGGATCCGCATTAGAGCTTTGTCAATTTGTCTCCTGCATACGATCCTTATGTTGAGTATTGTCGCAGAGCTCTGTGCTCAAAGGTGCTGCTTGTCTTGCACGGACTGCTGGGCTGTGCATTGGGCGCTAGGCCTGAAGAACGATGCGTTGCAAAATCTGCTTACACCACTACATGCTCCTCTCTGTTACGGTTAAGATGCGCTTGCAATCGCAATTCGGAAGCTCGCCTCGGGTCTCCTTTCTGCTTCAGACTGGGTCAAACCCAATGAACAGAAATGAGTCAGAACGTAGCCTTCAGCGATAGGATAAACAGGCTGCCCCTTGCTGAGACCGCAGCGATCTTTCTCGTGTACCCCAAGTGGCGAAATTGGCACGTCTGAGGGCCCAAGCAATGCAGCATGAAGGGATCAAGCTGGTTCAATGGACTCATCAACTGATCCGCACTTGTTGTTCAGCTGCGGGCTGTGCAACCAAGCTGGTCTGGTGCAGACACATTGCCTTGGCAGCTCCAACGACATCGATGGAAACTATTATCAGAACACAATAAAAGCTTGCATCTACAAGAATCCACTCTGCTCGCTTACTGTTCCAGTTCACATTGCGTCTGCGCTGCGTGCCTTCGTGAGTCTGTTTGCAGCCGAGGCTGCGTGCTCGAGGCCATCGGCGAAGGTTTGTAGGAACCCCTCGACAAGAATTAAGACTCACTTAGACTCTGGAGAGTACGCAGCGGTACATACCCCTGAAAGATGGTTTCAAACCTCCGATGTGACACAGGCTGCCATCCTCTCCGCGACCTACTTGCGCTGCCTCGCGCCCGTGCTCCTGACCGATCTCCTCTATCTGGGCCAAGTTCACCTGCTGCGTATGGCAGACCATCCGTTGTTGGCAAATCTTCGAAAGTCGCCAGTCCTGAATGTAGAAGAACGGGAAGATGCCGTGAATGTGAGTGCCTTTGTTGCACCAGGCAAGTTTTCATGTCGAGGATATATTGAATGAGACTCTCTTGTGATCGGTATTGCTGACCGGTCGTGTGGCCACTGGCATGGAATGGTTCTTTGACACCGACTATGAAAAGCGAAATCCAGAGATCCGACAAACACGGATATGAAATTGCAAGCTTACGGAAGTGAGCACGGGGCTTTAGCAGCCAGGACAAGCGGCTACTTCTAATGGCTGCTTTCATGGGTTACACGTTGAAGAACTCGAATGTTCTTTCTGCGCAAAATAAAGATCCATTCCATTGAAGATATCACTCCGACTGTCGTCGTGGATTCAATTCATTCTGCCTCTCCTTTCCGTAATGTCGAGCAAGTCGCAAGCAGTCTGTCCGGTATCGGTGTGGCCGAACACCCGGATGACCTTCGCCACACCACGATGCATATTCAGAAATGCAGCAGGAAACAAGAACACACCGTGAAGTGGCCCACAGGGAGGTTTCTTGGGCTGTTGCCGGTACTTCCTTCAGCACCTTGCCTGCAGGTCAAAAAGGAGAACGGCGTGCCTCACAGCATGACGTGCATCATCTGCGTCAGCCTGTTGATGGAGATCGAGCTTGATCGCCCACACCTGGCCTGTCTCAGTCAAACCCCGTGCAAAGGGGTGGTCAAGGCAGCTGAGCGCGGGCTTTGCGATGTAGAAATCCAAGCTGACAATGGTCACCTCAGGCAAAAATCGTTCGTGATTGAGTTCGGCATGATTCATCAATGTCCTTGACGCTCAGTTTGCAAGGGGCAAGTGAGGCGGCCCCAGGCCTGCTTCCTCAACATTCTGGAGCATCTATTTCGGTCCAACCCACACGCCCCCTGATTGTACACGCTTGGCCTGCTCTTTTGCCCAACATCTTGCACCGTCTAATTCGAAGCAGCATCTGCCAGTCAGGAAAAGCGGGCGTGGCGATTTTACTATTTTTTTGGGGAAGCGGTGCAAAATGTCCCTACATCGAACGCTAGCCGCTATACTACTTGCCTTAAGCCGGTCAAGAGTGTCCACGGGGTGTGAGGCCACCAGGAAGCGAAACAATTTTGCAGAAGCTGCTGCTGCATCAGCTGACAATCAGCTCGTAGTGGCAGCCGGCAGCAGCCAAGGGCTGTGTGTTGGCGCAACTATCAAGTATGCAGTGGAAGCAGTGAGCAAAGTTTGGGGCAAACTGAGGCTGCAGGTTGTAGCACGTGCAGGATCCTTCTGCCTCCTGCAGCAGGGAGCGCAGCATGAGCAGGATGTCAAGCCAGGGGCAGCTACAAAGGAAGCTGGTGCGGAGCCAGGATGAGCCAGGAGTGCCAAGAACTGCAAGGCTAGAATTGCAGTCGGGCCCAGTCTGCGCACTGCTCTCGCGTCAACCTTCGCTCGATATGGGAAGCTTTCAACTCAAAGAGGGCATGATAGAGGCTGAGCCCTCTTGCATAGAAGGCGCGATATCCTGCAGAAATATGCTTTAATTGTCCCGCGGGGGGGGGGTTGCTGTACAGACTTGAGCGTAGTTGGAGCTAGCAATTCGGGATTCTTCTAGATTCTAGATGCGAGGTAGTTCCCCAAACAGGAACTGTTGGGGTCCTCTCCTCAGAAGAAAAAGGAACGCGCCAGGCACGATGCGCGGTGCGCAGCACTGGAGCTGGCCCGCGGGTTTGGAGGGGTGTCACGCGGCTTTTTGGGACAGGGCGGTTTCAGGGCAAAAAGGTGCCGATCGGCCCGGGCTCCCACGAAGCGCGATCCAGTTCCGTTTCGACGCGTTCCGGGCAAACGTATTTAGAGCTCCAAGTCGAGCTCCGGATGCCTCCGACCAAGCCCAAATGCATTGTCGGAATTGGCCTTGGTTTCAAAATATCTGGAGCTCAATGCCGTCCGTCCCTACACCACGAAATTCGCACCGAAAATGCTTTAATTTGGTCTCCAGGGCTCCAAAATGCAATTTTCCAGGCTTGGAAAACGCATTCAAAGCTGTTTCAGCTTTGCTCCTGGCCCCATTCCCGAGGCTTTGATTGAGCTCTCGAAGCCTTCGAACCCAAGCCCGAATGCATTTTTCAAGGCCTGCTAAACGCAATTGGCCGTGCTTTCACCCTACGGTCGACTCGAAGCTACTGACCAAGCCCAAATGCATTTTCCGAGGCCTGAGAGACGCACGTGGCCTTGGTTTCACCAAATCCGGAGCTCAATGCCGCCCCCACACGCGAAAATCGCACCGAAAGTGCTTTACCTTGGTTTCCAGGCTCCAAGAAGCATTTTTCAAGGGTTGGACAAAGCATTTATTGGTCTCTCGAAGCCACCGACCGAGCCCAAACGCATTTTCCAAGGACCGCTAAATGACTGCTAAACGCCTTTGGCCTTCGTTTCTTCTCTGGAGCTCAATGCCGTCCCTAAACCAAAATCGTCCTGCAAATGCCGTAGATTTGTTTCCAGGGCCCCAACATGCATTTTGCAAGGCTTGGAAAAGTCTTGGAAACCGTATGTAGCGCTGTTTCAACTTTGCTGGTGTTCCTGGCCTAGTCTCCCGAAGCCTCCGACCAAGCCCATTCCAAGGCCTGCTGAACACGTTTGGCTCTGGTTTCAAATTATCTGAAGCTCAATGCCGTCCGTCCCTACACCACGAATTTCGCACCTCAAAGCTTGGAAAACACATTCAAATCTGTTTCAGCCTTGCTGATGCCCTTGGCGCCAATCTCCGAATTCAAATCGCGCTCCCGAAGCCTGCGACCAAGACTAAATGGAGTTTCCCAGGCCCGCCAAATGCATGTGGCCTTGGTTTCACCAAATCCGGAGCTCAATGCCGTCCCTGCACCCGAAAACCGCAACGAACATGGTTTAATTCGGTTTCCAGGCTCCAAAATGCATTTTTCAAAGCCTGAAAACGCGTGTAAAGCTGTTTCAGTTTTGCTCGTGTCCCTGGCGCCTCCCGATGCTTTAATTGAGCTCTCGAAGCCACCGAGCAAGACCAAATGCATTTTCCAAGGCCTGCTAGACGCATGTGGCCTTCGTTTCTTCAAATCTGGAGCTCAATGCCGTCCCTACTCTGGAAATCGTGATGCAAATGCTGTAGTTTGGTTTCCACATGCATTTTTCAAGGCCGAGCAAACATCTTTAGAGCTGTTTCAGCTTTGCTGGTGTTCCTGGCCCCAGTCCCCGATTGTCTCTCTCCTATCTTTGCATCCATACTGTTTGGGGTCTTCGCCGGCACTAATTTGCAAGAAGAAACCACCCTGTTGGCTTAGTCAAGACTGGATTGCCCGCGAAGTGTTTGTTTTGTCTGCGGGCTTCAGCGGTCTGCGGGTGCTGGCGAGACTCGTCTTAGCCCCGAAGCTTCGGGGCGAGCTGCGGCTTAGCGAGAAGAGACTTGATGCAGGAGCGGGTCGAGGATGTGCGTGACAGGTGCAGTGGTGTTGTCGCATGCATCCAAGGGCTGGAGCTCGTCTCTCAGCTCCTGGGGCGCTTCGGCTCGTAGGAAGCGGCGCTGAGGAAGACAATGCGATCCAAAGAGGGCGCGCGACTGAGCAGGACGTAGAAGGCAATTCACCTAGTGGCTTGGGAAAGGCCCGGGGGGCATTGAAGACATCGAGAATGATAGCTTCGAGGGTTTGTCCTTGTAGGACGTACGCGGTTTGGGCTGCAGTGTCTGCGAAAGGAAACTGTCGGTGCTGTACGCACATGGCTGTAGGGTGATACGTGTTGCCGCGCGAATGCTTGGGGGAGGTGCTTGTGGAAGACGAACTGCCAAGGTCGCGCATTGTCCGCGTGACAGGGAGGGATCTTAGATCCAAATAGCTTCGGGGTCTCGGAGGATGGCGCCGAGTGGTGCGTGTTGCAGAAAGCGGGGCGGCAGGCCAGGATCTTCGGAAAAGCTGGGTTTTTGAGGGTCGAGAACGAGCCGCTCAAGAGTGTACGGACAGCCTTGGACGACGCCGAGCTCTGCGCATAGCTTCGGAATCTCTAGCACGCCTGGGAGTTCGGTGGTGTCAGTGAGCAAGGCGATGTGGAGCATGGCCGTGTTGCATTCGAGCATCCGATGTTCGCAGGAAACTTTCGCCATGACGTAAGCACACATGTGCAGCAGAAAACAATGGGATGCTCAATCCTGCTATTCTTGGCAACCGCTTCGTAGGCGCTAGGCCAAGAGCGGTTTTGGTTCGCGACCTTAGTGTGAAGCGAGATGGCACTGGGCAGCAAAAGCTGTGCTGTACATGAGCATCTTCGACTGAGGATGCTGCCCTGTGCAACATGGGCCGTATGCATTCAGATGGATAGGAGCCATGGGCGTGAGACGCATCTGAACACACTAAGGCCGTGGAGAGTTGACTCGACATCCTTCGCTCAACTTTCACGGCGAAACATGTGATTGAACTGGTTACGGAATTCTTCAACAAGGCTTCTTGTTCACCCTTTGCCAGAGACAAGTGTCGACCGGTCGACCGTGCAATAAACTGGCCGAGGCGCAGCATGGTATGTTACCGTCGAAACGGCAAGCACAGGCACTGCTCTAGGACTGACCCATGTCCCTGCGGTCCCTCAGGGTGTGCAGCAATCTCTGTTCTCAGCGCGATGGCACGTGCTTGCGCTGGTGAAACAACTCTGCTCAGAAGTCCGGTGTTGAGATGACAGAGCTCACAGTTTCTGCCGTGCGTGGCTCCGGAGCTAGAGTGCGACTAGAAAACTACTAACACTACTCCCCTGCTGATGCCACCCATGCCCATCAAGTAGAAGTCTCAAGATGTGCTGCGAAGCATCGGGTTTAGAATATGTAGCCTGATCAGTAGAAACAGTGCAGCAGTCAATCGCCCACCGAGACTTGCTTGATGTCACTCCCGGGAATGACCTCAGAGAAACCAACGCAGGCGTCACTGGGCAGCAGTAGTAGAAGTAGTAGTAGT